AATTTATTTTAACCTCATATATAAATCTATATGCACTGTAAAAAGTGAATAATATATAACTTCAAATTTATTAAGAAAAGTTTCTAGAAATTCTGTTTGTTTTTATTTTATTAATGTTTTTAATGTGTTCTGAACAATATGGTCACAGGTGATCAATAATGTTTTAGAACCTGGAAATTCTTTTCTTGACTAAAAGTGATGTTCAAGCAATTGAGATTGGAATTTTAGGACATACTTTTCTATGATCTGATAATTTTCATGATCACACACAGCCTCAAATAACATGAAGATGCCAGGAATAAAATTCCAAAATCATCCAAGTAGACTTGGATATGGTAATATTTACTGAAATTATAAAATTCACTCATAGCACTTAAGTAAAATTATGAACTCACTCATACACTCAGAAAAACTTAAAATTATCCTACAGACTGATGAGTCATCATCTCAGTGGAAGGATGATGGAATATTTTACCTGGTTGGCATTTTGGAAATTTTGTTGAAAACTAAAAACTAATGGATGAAGAGGTTATTACCTATGAGTAGTTATATGAACTAATTGTAAAAACAAAGTTCTCAGGTTTCTAATTCATATAATTAAAAAAAAATTATACTTTTGTATTTTCATGTATTGCAAGATAAACAAATGCACCCAAATTTACATTGGAGCTGAGATTTTCGTAGGTGCACACAAAACTAAGAATAAAAGTAACAATGTATTAAAAATAATGATAATAATCTGAATTTTGAACTCTTCTCCAAAGAAACTCAAAACATCTTGATGGCTGATTATCTTTTCAGTTTTTTTGTACCTTATTTATACTATTTTTAATATATGGTAAAACCGAAAAAATGCATTATGATTATGTACTCATGTTAACTTAAAGTAGGAATTAAACCTTCCAACTTTTTAAAAATTAGAAAAAAAAAAAGGCAAGTGGAGAAGACACTCCTGGAGGCCTGCTATAGGAGAGACATCCCCTTCCTATTTAGCTCATCATTCCCCTTATAAGTAGAAACGTATATAATGTTCATGGAAATGAGTGCATGTAACTAATCAAACTGTACTATCTTAGAACAACATTGTGGAAAATTAACCTCAAAATTATATATGAAGAAATTGTTCACGCATTTTATGTTTGTTATTGAAATCACTAACATACTAGGATATGAACTTTTAAAGATCACCATCTTGGGAGCTCATCAGTCCCTATAGTCAAGAATCTCTTGTGTTCGAGAAGTGGGACTAAAGGCAGACAACGGATAATGTTGCTAGTAAAGATATACTTTTTCTTTCACATTTTAATTCCAAAATACTGAGTTTATTGTCTATACTATGCTACTTTAATCCTCTATGCTGCAATCTCATTTCTATATATTTGGATTGACTGTATTTACCATGTGTTTAATTCCTTTTTATTGAAAAGGCCATGCACATATATCAAAAGGATTTTCTCTTCCTAGCATAAAAAGTCTAAAGTCAATCCTAATGTGAATCTTTTAAAATTCAACTATAAAACACCACATGAGAATGTATTCTTTTGTAAAATTTATTTTAGTAGATCTTATTCTGCTGGCTCTATATATTTTCTTCTATGAGTTCATATTGAAATGACTTACAGTAGTACTACAAAAAAATCTGAAAACACAGATGTTCAAATAAAACTGGAAATTCTCCCAACAGTGAAGAAGTCCCCAGCCTCTTCTCAGCCAGGCCTTTGTTGAAAACACCTGTTGAGAAGTTACCCTGAGACTGAACAAATAATTCTTGATAAGCCTCGATAGGCAGTAACCTGTGACAATTAGTAATGATCTCTACTTGATTTTAGATTCTCATATTAACATATGAAATAATTCACATGAAGATTACTATGAAAAGTGCTTTTATAAATTTGTATAACAATTTATTTGCCTTACCTACCACAAAATCTGTGCTCCTATTTTTCAAAATCAGTGTTATAGCTTTAAAATGAATAAAATATTTCATTAACACAATGTTGTATTATGACTCACATTATTGAGGATATTTTAATCACTAGTCTATTATTCAAACACTTTATTTCATCTGAGAAACTTGAAAAAAACCCTGAATAAAATCTCTTCTCACAAACCACTGTTTCTACATAGTGGTTACATGTGCAACCAGCTTACAGGATTGTTCTGCATTCACTTTCAATAAGAATGCTCTTTGCCCAAGAACCCACAGAGCTTAACCTTAAAATTTAGACCCCGTGACTCACACAATATTATTTGATACTTTAAAAAATCTTAATTTAAGCGGCAATATGAGTCTTCTACATCCTGAAATTCTTAAATTTCATACCAGTGTATCTCAAAACAATCACGAAATACGTTTCATTCCATCAATAGAAATACACTGTGCACTTTCTAAACAGGACAAACATACTGGAAAATAAAGGTAAAGCAGACCTAGTAGTTGCTAGTCCAAGTGCACTCCGTGAATTAAAATACTACTTTCAGAAATACACGTGAGATTAGTAGTGTGTTTCCTCAGCAGACTGTGTTAAATATACACACTGATAAATGCACTTTGAAACAAGGTTATGGATACCTGAGCACTTGAATTTAAGCATGTCACTTCAGCACAAAGCGTTTGCAGCATTCTAGTTTAAAGAAAAAGAAGAAAGGAGGATCACTATAGTTAATTTACTCTGTTCTCAACAATAGGTACTGAGAAAAACCTGGTATACTGAAAAGGAAATTAACATATTAGGAATTTACAAAGCATTCTTTATAAGACTGCAAAAACTCAGGGGAAAAAAAGAGAGAGTGCCTCTTTTAACAGTTTATATCGAGGATATTTCTAGGGCAAGAGCAATCTGCAACATTGAGTCACCTTGGAAAAAATTTCAAGAACTTAAAACTGAAACTTTTTCTGTGTTTTTATGGCATGGATTTAGATTCTAGAAGAAAGGGAATGGCAAGGAAGTTTGTCTTTTGTTTTCTTTTTAAATTATCTGTCTCTTTCCCTGCATGTGTGAGATTTGCTTTGGCTTAAGTTTTACGGCTGAGAGGAATCATCATCATCATCATCATCACCATCACCATCATCACCACCATCCATTCCTCAAGCAATGAACAGCTTAAAGAACAGCATGGTGTAAATACAATACAGGCACCCCTGTCCCTCGAAACCTTCTGGATACTTCCATCCAAATTTGTTCCTCACTAATCTGACCAAGGAATCAGGCTTGCTGATATTCTACTGCACCAACTTCATTTTTACTGGAACCTAAATAAGAATACAACTAACAGCACTTGAAATGGAAGATTAAACATTACTCTGTGATATCTTTGTAGTTGTCAATGGTAAAAATAGAAGAAAGGTATTTAACATACATGTATAGATAAAATGACTGCAAAAGATCTATAAATACATATTTTAACATATCTCCCTAAAGAGATTATCGTAAATACCAGTTTAACACAGTCACAGAAAGACTTTCATAGAAACCACACTATTTTTTAAGGGAGATATTTCTTGTTCAGTCTTTTATAGACATCAAAAAATCATGATTACTGGTATACAGTAGACAGCATTAAAAGTGGGATTTAATACTACAATCGATTCTTTAGTATTCAGTAGCACCAATTACAAGAGTCTGTTTTACAAGGACATTATAATATTATAAGAAAATATGTTTTGCTAACTTTTGGCATTTGTTATACTTCTGTTAGAAAGGATAAGGTTATGAAGTTTTACTATTCATTTTAATAATAAAAACATTACTGAGCCAAGTGTCATTAAAAGGTATTTGCTTTTCAAAGCATAAAATTATGAACAAATTAACTTCATTTGCCCCAAACTAATCTTCCTCCCAAAGTGTCACTTTTAGTTAAACTCAATTTTGAATTTCAAGTAGTGCTCATCCAGAGTAATTTGTATCAACATGCATTTATAATAAGCAAGGATTAAGTTTTTCTGTGACACAACTTAATAGCGGATAAAAGAAGCTAAGCAGTGACTAGACAAAGTACAGTCACCTGCTATTGTTAGAATCTATGTCCATGATGGGTCAGTCATTTAGGTTTTTTTTTTTTTTTAATATATCAGTGACTTTGGATTATACTATCTAAAATATATTAAATATCACTTGAAAATATGAAAACTAAATACATCCTGAAATTCCTTTTGGTGGGTCAAGTGCCTTTAATGCCAAATATGCCTCCTGTTTTCAACCATATAAGTTGAGTCTGTGACCCTCTGGTGCACTCTATTCCTTCCTCAATGACTCCAAGAAACAGATCAGGACAAAATAAATATAAACTTCTCATAGACAGTTAACGGTCATTATCCAAAGCCTACATTTATTCAAACTTTTGAAAGAGCTTCAGAGCATAATTTACATATTAAAAGTTTAAACTACACTAAGACATCATGATGCAGTTTCTAGTGTAAAGAGTAAATCAGAGTCATATTCATTAAAACACTTCTTAAAGTATAATACTGACTTTTTCGGTGAGGAGTGAAAACTTAGCTCAGATTCAGGCTCTGGAATTCTCTGACTAGTTGCTGTTTTGTACTTGAAAAAGTGAACTTCTGAGTATTTGAGTATACATTTCTTTCATTTTTGGCATCAGATTTTTTTAAACAGAATTAAAAAGCAATTTAACTAAAACTTTTTTTTTTCTCTACTCTGGGAATCCTTTGTTATGGAGAGAAATGTGGACCCACAAATAAAAATAAAGTAAAATAAACTCTAAATACTGAACACTGCTAACATTTTTAAGCCTACAAAAATAAACTTTAAGATACAACAAAAGTAAGACTTTTAGACTACTTGAGACTATTTACAGGGGAGGGGTTATGTATGGAATGTGTCGAACAGGTAGTGGCAAGAGTGTAAACCATTTTCACTTAAAAAATTTTCCTCTCTCACTGCTGCTGGCCGCGTGGCTTTGTCCTGTTCCAAAGGTTTCAGGACAGCTTCCCAAACCAGCAATAAAGTCAAGTCCCACTTAGGCTAAGAGTCTCTTACCTGAATTATGGACATCCGAGTGGCAGGGGTCTCGCTTGCATTAGTCCCTTGTCCGGTGAAGCTGGTGTGGCAGCCCGCGTGCCCCTGAGGAACAGTCAGGTTGTTGGAGGCCGGTTTGAGATACATCACCTCCGATCGGGGCGAGCTGAGGGGCAGCCGGGTCTGGTAGTCGAAGTACATAGGGGAGGTGGCCAGGGAGGGGCTGCTCACCACGTTCATGACATTCATGGCGTTCCTCTCTTCCACCTCGCTCTGCACCAGCATAATATCATTTTTGTTGATTTTTTTCTTCTTGCCCTTGCCCCCGCCCAGCTGCGGGTGGCTGTACTCGGCGATGCGGCAGTTGTAGGTGCGAATCTCCTTGTTCTCGCGCTTGCACTTGACGGCAATGGTGATCATGGCCGCTAGGAGAATGATAGAGATAGTGCTCAGAGTCACGATGAGCGGCAGCGACATGTCCCAGTGGTGCTGCTCGCCGTTTACCCGGGGAACCCCTTCGGGCAAGGAGCCGCTCACGGAGCGGATGATGAGCTTGGCCACCGCGGACAGGGTGGGCTTCCCGTGGTCAGTCACCTTCACCACCAGCTCCACCACCGGCGTCACGTCCTCCCAGAAGGGGTGCAGCGTGCGGATCTCGCCGCTGGAGGGATCGATTTCAAACAGGTGGTCGTCGTTTCCGTCTACGATCTCGTAGGTGAGGCGCCCACTCTCGCCGAAGTCACTGTCAAGGGCGCGTACGGTGCTCACCAGGTAGCCCAGGCCGGCGTTGCGCGGCACCTGCAGCTCAGCGGTGTCGTTCTGCAGCGTGGGCAGCACGATCACCGGCGCGTTGTCATTCACGTCTAGCACCGTCACCCTCACAGTGGCGTTGCTCTCCAAGTGCGCGGGCGCCCCTGAGTCCTTAGCAAGCACCTTGAACTCAAAAGCCTTGGTCTGCTCGTAGTTAAAGGAGCGCAGGGCGTAGATGGCCCCGTTGGTGGGGTTCACAGACACATAGGTGTAGATGGACACGTCGCCGATGTGCGAGGGCAGGATGGAGTAGGACACCGTGCCGTTCTGGCCCAGGTCGGGGTCCTGGGCGAGCACGGAGCCCAGGTACTCTCCTGGGATGTTGTTTTCGTGCACCTGCAGCACATAGAGTCCCTTGGTGAAACGAGGAGGGTTGTCGTTCTCGTCCAGAATCTTGACAGCGAACGACTTGGTGGAGTTGAGAGGAGGCGAGCCCCCGTCCCGCGCCACGATTGTCACGTTGTACTCGTCCTGTGTCTCGCGGTCCAGCGGGCGGTCAGTCACCACCGTGTAGAAGTTGTCGTAGTTCTCCTCAAGCTTGAAGGGGACAGAACCTCCGGGCCCGCCCAGGCCGCCGCCGCCGCCGCCCGTCCCTCCTCCGCCCAGTACCCTGCACTGCAGCTGCCCGTTCTTGCCCGAGTCCCGGTCAGTGACCCGCACTAGGGCTATGACGGTGCCGGGCGGGGCGGCCTCGCTCAGCGCCCCCTGGCGCACGGAGACGAAACCAATGGACGGCGCGTTGTCGTTGCGGTCGATGAGCTTGACAGTGACCTTGCAGTGGGCCGGGATGGGGTTGGGCCCCAAGTCTCGGGCCTGTACGTCGATCTCCAGCATCCCATTCTCCTCATAGTCCAGATTGCCCTTGACACGGATCAGGCCGGTCTTAGGGTCGATGGAGAAGAGCTCTCTTACGCGGTCAGGCACATAGCTGCTGAAGGAGTAGAGGACTTCACCATTGGGACCCTCGTCGGCGTCGGTGGCATTCAGATCAATGACCACGGTGCCCAGTGGGGCATTCTCTGGCAGCTCCACCAAGTAGGAGGGCGCCTCGAACACCGGGCTGTTGTCGTTAGAGTCTATCACCTTCACGTTGATTTGCACAGTGGCCGATCGCGGCGGCTCGCCGCCGTCCAGGGCGGTCAGCACAAGCGTGTGGTGGTTCTGCTGCTCGCGGTCCAGCGCCTTCTGGATAACCAGCTCTGGGAATTTGGTGCCGTCGCCGCGGGACTTGACGTCCAGCGCGAAGAGCCCATGGTCGTCGCGCGTGAGCAGATAGGTGCGGAGCCCGTTCTCGCCGGCGTCCGGGTCATGTGCGCTGGTGAGAGGGAAGCGGGTACCCGGCGCCGCGTTCTCCGAGATGTCCATCTCAATCTGGTCCGAGGGGAAGGAGGGGGCGTTGTCGTTGATGTCCTGGATCTCCACCTTGATCATGCAGATTTCCTTGTCGTTGGCGAACACCTCGAGGGACAGCTGGCACTTGGCGTTGTGGCGGCACAGGGACTCACGGTCGATGCGCTGCTTGGTGTAGAGGAGCCCGCTGTCCGCGTCCACGTCCAGCAGGTGCGGCGCTGAGTTCTCCAGCACCCGGTAGCTACCCGACTTGCTTCGCCCGCTGCCGACACTGCCACCGCGCTCTGCGGGCGGAAGCCCCGGCTGCAGTCGAGCATCCTTGCCGATGTTGCCGATCACGGTGCCGGCCCCTTGCTCCTCTGGCACCGAGTAGTTGAGGTTTTTGAGCGTCAGGGCAGGGGCCCATAGGAGGAAACAGCAACAGATGGAAAGGTACATCCCAGACCGGTGGGGTGGGGGCTGGAGCGGCCGGACTGGAGGGGCGAGCGAGTGGGTGCGCGCCAGCCTGGGGCTCGGGCGCAGCGTGCGCGCGCGACACGAGCCACAAGTCTGTGGGTCCTTCCTTCCCTCTGCTCCTGGGCTGCGGCACCCGGCGGTCTACCTTATTCCGCTCAAGTTCCCCGAACCTGTTGATCTACAGCATCCGCACTGGGCGAGAAGCGGCGGCGCAGCGAAGCTGCAGGGGCACGGAGCAAGGCGGCGGCTCCCTGCGGCTGGGGGCGAGCCCGGGGCTTTGTCTCTTCCGCCGGGACTTGGGGCGACTCAAAGTTCAGCGATGAGGCCAGCGACGAGATGGAAATCGTGTCTAGAAGGGATGGTAAAGAATCCGTGGATTTTCCTGGCTCCGCTAGGGCGCTGCAAATCCACTCCCGCGGTAGCCGCCGGAATACTCTTCACATCGGGTGGGGGAGGGAGCGGGGAGGTGTGTCTTCAGGCAGATGGGAAAGTGAAATCCTTACTTGTTTCTCGTCTGCTATGATGAAATTGATGGGGATGAGGAGCAACGGAGAGAGAGTCAGATATATTTTGAAGCTTCGCTGGAGCCCGGTGAAATGTCTGCTGGCTTCGCGGGCTGTTCGGTTTTCAGGCAGTGTTTTGCTGCATTTAGAGATCTAATCTTGCATTGCTGGCTGAGGGAGAGGCGGCGGCGGACTGCATCTCCCAGCCAAGCGTATTTTCTCTCTCTCTCTCTCTCCTTTCCGAGCAGCCAAAGGGAGGGGAGGAAATGCAGCGCAAAGAACTAGTGTCCCGATTTGTAGTTTCCTCCCTCCACCAGGCTCCTCCCTCTCTTCCTCGGAAAAGGCTCTCCCCCGAAGTCAGGAAAGCCACCGCCAGATCAGCGTTTGCGGTATGAGTCTATTGGGGGGGGGGGATATATAGCTCTATCTCCGCCTCTGTTCGTAGAACACACACTCTGTGATTTCTCTATGCCAAGCCAGTAGCCGCCGCTACCATCCCATTCTCTCCCCGAGAGCGAGGACTTCTCTCGATGCAGTTTAATTCCAGTTTGCTTTTCTTCCCAGGCGAAAGGAAATCAACAGGCAACTCATGGTTGGATGTGCAGATTTGAAGGGGGAAGGGGAGGCGGAATAAAAAGGAAGGGGGAGCCACCCTCCCAGTCCTCGCACACACACTCTCCCTGTCTCTCGCTAGAAGGGAAACAGTCTCTGCATTCACAGGGCTGGGCTGTCAAGTGCCTCTCTTTTCTTTCTATTCAGCATCTCCTTCCAATGGCCCTGCCTCCCAGTCCTCTTCATCTAGAAAGGAAAACCTTGGCGAGGAATAAAAGTGGTGAATATTTGAAGCGAATAAAGTGCGGGGTTTTTTTTCCCGTCAATTTTTTTTTTTTTTTTTAATAGTAGGAGTGGGCTGGATGAAAGAAACACATCAAGGTTTGGCGTGATGCATTCTGCAGTCTCGCTTTCACACAGTCTCTCTGGGCGACTCGAGGAGGGCAGGGGGTGAGGAGCTGCGGCCGCGGCGGTCCAGCCAGGGGCGCCCACCCCCGAGAGCTACCTCCGAGGGGATGTTAGGCACAGGTCTGTCTACACATTATTTCGGGTTCTTGAGGCGCCTCGACATATGGGAATGACACATCCAGAAATGCAGGTGTTCCGATCTGCCCGATGAGTCAGAAGCAGTGGAACGAATCGTATTCACTCTCGCCTCATGGTCCTCCCTTCACAGACATTAGTTGCGGCTTCTTCCTAACGCTTTCTCTGACTCACTGTATAGAAAGAAAAGCCAGATTCTTGTTTTGGAGGAAAAGAAAAAGCGAGAGAAAAGGGAGGGAGGGAGGGAAGGAGGAAGGTGTAGCTGAATCCAGCAGCACTTTTACTCTACCTCTTTCTGCCGGGGTCCGAGGGTCTGGAAAACAAGGCGTCTGTTTTGCTAGGTGTATTTATTTATTTATTTATTTATTTTTAAAAAAAAACCTTTCCTTTTGGTTAGGCGTGAGGAACCCCCAAATCTTTCAGAGTCCTGGAAAAAAAGAGGAAAAATCAGGATTCCAGTGACTGTTCACAGCTTAGCCCCGCATCATAGTTCATGATTTTCCTCTCAATGTTCTCTATTCACAAAGTCCAGCACCGGTGTGCATAGTTAATTGTGTAGTCCGTTGTGGAGGGCTTTTTTTTTTTTTTTTTCCTCCTTTTCTGTCACGGGTGGTCTCTTTTAATCTGGTGCCTGTCAGGATCAGCGCATAGCCTGCGAAAGACGTGCGGATTTCAAAGCAAATAAATCCATCTCCGCAAGCAAAGCATCGGAGGAAATGAAAGGTGAAAATTCAACAGTTGGAGTAGCGTCTCCCCAGCCGCCCTCTGCCGCTGCCGCATCCGCCGGGCTCGCAGTCCCAGCTCTCGCCCCAGCGCCTCTTGCTGACTGACTCTATTCACCTCACGCCGCCGCTTAAACATTGATACTGATTCCCTGCCAGCCAATCCGCGTGAGGAACAAGGCCCTGCCTCCTCGGCCCACGCCCAATAGAAGGCGGAAAAGAGACTGGCGGGGGCGGAGCCAGGAGCCCCAGCTCTTCAGAGTCATTGATTAGATCAGTTAGATGGGAGACCAGCTGGGCTACCCGAGCCCCGCGCGCCGCCTTGGCAGCGGCGCCCAGGGCCTCGTCGCCGGGTCTCCCGAGTTTTTAACTACTGCGAGAAGCTCCTCCACCGTGTTCCTCCAGAAAAAGGAGAATTAAAAGAAAAAAAAAAAGTTTGACAGCGATTTAATTTTTTTTTTTTTATTCCATGTACACAGGAACCGGAATCGCAGCGTGTTTGCAGAATAAGGTAGCTGCGGTCTTCCCGATGGGTTTCTGTACACACACACACACCGACAGCAAACATACACCTATGCCATGAGAGGCGCAGATCTTCTGGCTGCCTGTGAATCCGTCTGAATGTGGTGCAGAGGGATGTGTGTGTGTGTGTGTGTGTGTGTGTGTACACCCGCGTGCGTGGTGTGTGTGTGTGTGTTTCTGGGGGGTGTAATGTGTATTTCAGCGAGTGTGTGTGAATGCGAGCGCGCGAGCGCGCCCGCTTCTGCCGGAGCTGGTGCAAACACACCCGGAGCAGTAGCAATCAATATGTAACTTTCTTTATCCTCGGAGAAAAATCAGCTGTCCCCATGCACCCATGCAAGGAAAGTCACTTGATTATGAAAGTGTTTCAGAAGAAAAGCAGAAGCCCAGTGAAAGAGAGGCCGTGTCTTCCCAGAGGAAAAACTCCTCTCCTTTAAGGAGAAAGGCTCACTGTCAATTCAATCTTTGTAGTTTGTTAAAGCTCAAATCTGGCTAAATAATACTTAGGACTCTACCCTTTTCAGTCACCCTCAGCTAAGTCCTGATTTAAGGTAAAGCGGACACCACACCCAGTACACACACACACACACACACACACGCACACACACACACTAGTTTTCGGGTTTTGTTATTTGATCTTGTTATTGAAGTTCTATACGGCAATCTGAATTTTATCTCAACCAAATAAGTGTTGATAATCACATTTGCCAAAGCTCCTATGCATAAAAGCTGAGCGGAAAGCGGAAGGCAGATCAGTGGGGCATCTGTTAAGATTCATGTTTTGTAAGTAACACCATCACCACCACTACTACTACCATCTCCCTCTCTCTCTCTCTCTCTCTCTCTCTCTCTCTCTCACACACACACACACACACACACACACACACACACACACAGACTCCTGGTTCATTTACCCTGTCAACTTCAGTTTCTAATCTCAGAGATTCTTTCTTCCCAAACTATTATCACAAACATCCACAAGTGAAGACTATTTTGCTCCTGATCCTGCGGTTCTGAGAAAGAGTTAAGAAGGAAAAAGAAAATTGAAGTATTGAAATAGAAAAGGTGAGTGTTTTCATTGCTAGAGTACTGATCGCAATTCATAAATACTAAAGTTGCCATTTATAAATTGTGAATGACTAATGTACAATTCTGTTACATGAATCATTCAGGATTCAAAGAAAATCAAATCCAGACCAATTACAGAAAGTTCTGATGATTGTTGTTGTGATAATTGCTTAAAGATTCAAGTAAAGGAGCTATTTATTTCCTGGAGGATTCAATGAGATAACTTATAGTCTGAGTTTACAGTCTGATCTGGATCCAAAATTCACCACTCCCTTAAGATATTATCTTTAACAATTTAAAAATTCAAAGAGGAGCTCTTGCTAGACCTTCAAATCCTAAAATGTCTTTGTATTTTCTAAATAGGTAGTTTGTACATATGCCTTCGCTAAACAGGGAAGCTAGAGCTTTGTAGAAATCTGGGTTGTTTTGCTGAGTGAGTGCCTAAACACTCTGCTTTGTGAAACCTCACCTTTATATCTCCTTAGGCTTGGTACCTCTGTCCCAATATGTGTACCTTGGAAGCTGAGGCTTTGATGCTTTAAAAGCAGCAGCTAACTTAAACAAAGAGTCGTAATTACACATTCCTTAATTAATCATTACTTTTTTAATATGACAAACCTATGGCTTTTTTCTGCATTATATACTAATTCAAGCAAAGTCATAAAATACCCTTACTTGAGGTTTACAATAAGGCAAAAACAAGAGAATGAAAATATTTCAAGGAAAGGGGAATATGGCTTATTGATGAGCCCTGATTAATTGTGCTGTTACACAAATGAGGGGAGAAACACAGTGTCTGGGAAGAGACCCATGATAGGAAATACAGCCTCATAGACAATTTGCCCACCACCCTTTCCAGAGTAATTATGTTACACTTCCCCCTAGTGTGTAGAAAGAGAACACCAGGCCACAGGGCATCTGCCAAAGGGAGCAAAATGGAACTATATCAGATATCTACTTACATTTTATTTAAACTGTAGTATTGAGTTCTGTTACTTAAGACTGACATGTACCCAAAATAACTAATTTTTATCCTTATGTCTCATCCCTATTTTATTTTTAAAGGAAATAG